ACACACACACACACACACACACACACACAGAAAGCAAAAAGGATGTGGCAGCAGATTTCTCCTGGCAACATCTGGCCGTAGAGCAAAGACCCCATTTTTTTTTTTTTTTTTTTTTTTTTTAGGTATTGGTAATTGAACCCAGGGGTGCTCTACCATTGAGCTGTATCCCCAGAGGTTTATATTTTTGAGACAGGGTCTTGCTAAGTTGATGAGACTGGCCTCAAATTTGGAATCTTCCTGCCTCAACCTCCTGAGTTGCTGGAACCACAGGTATGTGCAACTGTGTCTGGCTAAAAAATAGTATTTTGAGCAGCAGGAAATTTTCTCTAGTGGAGAGGCGGGGACAAAACTAGGAATTTTGTTGGAGTCTGGTAAGAGAAAACAAGCCAAAGTGCATTGATTCTACCCCGAATAGCCTTTCTAGGCTTTTGCATTGCTCATTGTGAAACCACAGGCCAAAGAGACTGGGTGATCACAGGGCTGAATGACTTGGCTAAGGTGATGGTGGGTAAGTGGCAATGCTGGAATTTGAACCCAGACAACTTGAGTCTCTGCTCCTGGATATCTCACACTTCTGTTTCACAGCAACCATGTTTCACACTTTAGTAGAAGTGATAGGATAGGATCAGGCATCCAGGTCTGATGGTTGTGGTATAGTGCTCTGCCACCTCCACCTCCATGTTGTGTGACCCAGAACAAATAGCTTGTCCTCTGTGCCTCTGCAGAAACTTCACATGGTGCATTGGAACTAGGGCCCTGGCAACCCAGAGATGGGTATGGAGCTAAGGGGGGCTGCATGGTTGGAGAGATGGTTAATCGAAGAATCTTTTGGGGAGTAAAGGGTAGAGAGGTCAGGATAGATCTCGCATCTGGGAGGTTGGTGCCATGCTGGAGTCTGGAAGAGGACAGGTAGAGGAATTTGAGTTCAGTTGAGGACTCAAAGAACCAAAGATTTCCGCGAGACCCTCAGAGTAGAGAACTGGAGCTGGGGCGGAGTGCCAAAAGGTGGGCAAGGGGGCTTCCCCTTTCTAGTGGGAAGGTTAGGCTCCAGCTTGGGTAGGAGGGGGCGGGGACCGCTGCGCCCGGCGGCCCCTTTAATCGGGGGCGCGCGCTGGCCGGCCCGCGCGCTCTCGCCTCCGTCTCTCGGCCGGAGCGGGAGCCGAAGCGGAGCCCGGGCCAGAGCGGGCGGAATGGAGCCCCCGCGCGCGCCCGCGCTGCGCCGCCTGCTCCCGCCGTTGCTGCTCTTACTGCTGCCACTGCCCCCCCGCGCCCGGGCCAAGTATGTGCGGGGCAACCTCAGCTCCAAGGAGGTGAGCACGCCGGGCCCTCCTMATCGGCGGCTGAGACCCGGGGACCAGAGAGGAGAGGTGGCGCCCCGCCCCCTGCTGCCCCTCCCGGGTGGACGTGGGACTGGAGCCGGGCGGATGGAGGATTGGGCAGGGTCGAGGCCGCGGGGACCCTGGGCTTGAGGCCAGACTTGGGGGTTGTATTAGGGACGTTGAGGTCAGCTGGGTGGGGTGGTGGCAGGGTTGGGAAAGGCGGAGTTGGTGGGAGTTGGGGGCGCACCGAGGTGGTGCTGAAGGGACAGCACTCTTCACTCCTGCAGAGTGCCCGAGTTCACCGCACCCGCGCCCAGGGCCAGGAGGGGCGGGGTGGAAGCATGGATGGTCTTTGGAACCACCGGTGTGTGTGTGTGTGTGTGTGTGTGTGTGTGTCTGCTTGCGTGAGCTCCGCTAACTGGGGTAATGCTGATGGGACGGTGGCCTGGACAGAAGTGGCTTCTATGGGCACCTGGCCCTCCAGGGCCCTCCATGGGAAATGCAGGAAGGAGTGCTCAAGGGGAGGAAACTTGGGGGTCATCTGAGGTAGAAAACCAGGGCAGCAGGAATCCTGGACCCATGCAAAAGGGAAGTGAAAAGAATTTTGGAGGTGACTTGGTCTCCTTGTGGTATTGGGAAGCCAGTTATCTGGGTAGGGAAGACAAGTTGCGGGTCTATTAAATGGAGGAGCCTTCTTGATGGACTCAGAAGAGAGTCTGATTGGGTCCCATTGCCAGGACTGGGTATTCTTGACAAGATTTTGTTTCCTCTCGGATTATGGTCGACTGGACTTCCGCTTCCGCTACCCTGAGGTGAGTCTCCCCCAACTACTTGCCAAACTGAGGCTGGATAATCCCTAGGCCTCCCAAGGTAAGGGCTACCATAGCTCCATGCACTTCCCCAAACCCCCAAATCTCTGGGTTTGCAGACCAAGTGCTGTCAGAACATCCTCCTCTATTTCGATGATCCATCCCAGTGGCCAGCAGTGTACAAGGCAGGAGACAAGGTGAGGGCTGTGAGGAGGGTGCAGGAGGAGGAGGCAGAGGTTGTGGGTGACCACAGAGTGACCCTATCTCTGTCTTCCTCAGGACTGCCTGGCCAAGGAATCAGTGATCAGGCCGGAGAACAACCAGGTCATCAATCTCACCACCCAGTATGCCTGGTCAGGCTGTCAGGTGCGGGGAAGTGGGCAGGTGCTGAAAGTTGAGGCCTGGGGACATTGAGGACAGGCTTCAGCCTTTTCCTGGCTCCTCCCCAGGTGGTGTCAGAAGAGGGAACCCGCTACCTGAGTTGCTCCAGTGGCCGAAGCTTCCGCTCTGTGCGTGAAAGGTGGTGGTACATCGCACTCAGCAAGTGTGGGGTACGGGGCTGGGATGGCCACCTGGGCCTTCTTCTCTTTGTCTTCCTGCTGACTCCCTACCTGCCCAGGACCCCCCTTAGGCCTCCACTTTCCCTACAGGGAGATGGGCTGCAGCTGGAATATGAGATGGTCCTCACCAATGGCAAGTCATTCTGGACAAGGCACTTCTCTGCTGATGAGTTTGGTGAGCAGATATCTGGAAAACAGGATTCAGGGTCTCTGTGGGAGCCAGGTGCATTGGTACACACCTGTAATCCCAGCAACTCAGGAGGCTGAGGCAGGAGAATCACAAGTTAGCAAGGCCCTGTCTCAAAATAAAACAAAAAAGGCTGGGGGGTGTGGCYTAGTGGTAGAGCACCCACAGGTTCAATCCCTAGTACCACAAAAATTAACCAGGTAGCTGGGCTCTGTGGCGCATGCCTGTAATCCCTGTGGCTCAGGAGGCTGAGGCAGGGGCATCGAGAGTTCAAAGCCAGCCTGAGCAATTTGGAGAGGCTCTAAGCAACTTAGCGAGACCCTGTCCCTAAATAAAATATTTTTTAAAAAGGGCTGGGGATGTAGTTCAGTGGTTGAGTGCTCCTAAATTCAATCCCCCATACCAAAAAACAAAAACAAACTAATCAAATAAACAAATATTTTTAACAAAAGGATCTCTATGGAAGCCCAGAGTGGGTACCTGCTGAGAGATACCCACTCTGGGAACCATTTTCTCCTTCCCCCAAATCCTAGGGATCTTGGAGACAGATGTGACCTTCCTCCTCATCTTCATCCTCATCTTCTTCCTCTCCTGTTACTTTGGATGTGAGTCCAGCACATAGAGGTGGGAGAGGAGATATGGGGGAGCAGGGTTGGGGAAATGGGCTACCCTCCCCTCTTTGAACAGCCTTTCCCTGCCTGCTTCCCAGATTTGTTGAAAGGTCGTCAGTTGCTTCACACAACTTATAAAATGTTCATGGCCGCAGCAGGAGTGGAGGGTGAGGTTTAGTGTCCCAGCTTTTGAGTCCTGGGGGAGGAGGGACTTGTGGCCCAGACATGGGGATCTAAGGCAAGACTCCTGGGTCTGATGGAGGAGGGGCTGGAGGCTGTGGACTCCTGGGTATCCTAGCAGGTAGGTGGGGGTGGGTGGTCTAGAGTCTTGATGGGGGTGGAGGAGGACTCAAACCATATGGATCACAATGCGAGAGGACAGTGATGCTCCAAAGCCAGTTTCTGTCCTTTCCTTTCTCTGCCCATCCTTTTCCCAGTCCTAAGCCTCCTGTTTTTCTGCATCTACTGGGGCCAGTATGCTACTGATGGCATTGGCAATGAGAGTGTGAAGATCCTGGGTAAGAATGGAGTGGGGCCATGGGAGGGTGGAGCCCTTGGCTCAGGTCTGGCATCTTCTCTGAGCTAGTCTCTGAGCCACCCTCTCCTCCCTTCCCAGCCAAGCTGCTCTTCTCCTCCAGCTTCCTCATCTTCCTGCTCATGCTCATCCTTCTGGGGAAGGGATTCACGGTGACACGGTGCCCGGGCAGGGAGTGCTTGTGGGGTGGCTGGGCTGGGGAGTAGGGCAGGGAGGGTAGGCGTGGGGTGGCTTCCCCCTCTCCCTGACAGCCCCCACTCCTGCTGTCTTCCTTCATGGCCTGCTGCCAGGGGCCGCATCAGTCATTCGGGCTCTGTGAAGTTGTCTGTGTACATGACCCTGTACACCCTCACCCACGTGGTGCTGCTTATCTACGAGGCTGAAGTGAGTCCCCTTGGCCCTGCCAAGCCCCCCCCCCCTTTCGGTGGCCTCCTCCTCCTTGACCTGTCTGTTGCCCTTCCCCACACAGCATCCTYCTGGCTCGCTCTCTCTCCTACTCTGCAATTTTCCACCTTCCCATTTGTCTCTAAGTGATTCTTTCCCTCTTCACCATCTGAGTAGGTTTCTTCCTCCTCCCTCCGTTTCTTACTGTCTGTCACATTTAAGCTCCCTGTCCCTGTCTGTGAGTTCAGGGGTTATACAGACCTGGATTCCACTCCTGTAGCCTTAGCTGGCTGACCCTGGGTGATGACCCCCTCTTTGACCCATTACCTTCTCTAAAAAGTGGAGGATCTTATCCTCCCTAAAGGCTTCCCTCCTAGTCTTACTTTCCTCCTCTGTGAAAAGGGGTGACAGTAAGACCTCTCTCATTGAGTTGATGCTAATGGGAAAGCTCATACATGGTAGGTGTTTGGCCCCATGTTGGGCACAGGGTAGCTAATGCATGTCTTCTCATGTGTTTCATCCTCTCTATCTCTATATGCCTCTCTCTCCATCCCTGACTTCCCTGCTGCTTCTGTCCCGACCTGGTACCTCTGCTCCCTGGGTACCCAGGGGTGGGGTCCAGGGCAGGAGGCCAGGGCTATGATGAACCCTCTCCTTGGGACCCAGTTCTTTGACCCAGGTCAGGTACTGTACACCTATGAGTCTCCGGCGGGCTATGGACTCATCGGGCTGCAGGTGGCAGCCTACGTGTGGTTCTGCTATGCTGTGCTCATCTCCCTGCGACATTTCCCTGAGAAGCAGCCCTTTTACGTGCCCTTCTTTGCTGCCTACACCCTCTGGTGAGAAGTGGTGTCCTCCATTGTTTYTCTCCCCCACCTAACTCAGACCCTCCTCAGTAAGGAAGAAGAGCTTTCAAGTTAGGTAGTTGTCACCTGAAATCTGTCACTTTTTCACTTTATGACCTTGAAAAAATTAGTCTCCCAAAGTAAAACTCAGTAAAAGTAAAAAWAAATAAATAAATAAAAACAAGAACTTATTTCTGGATGGTGATATAGCTCAGTGGTCGAGTGCTAGCATACATAGGCCCTGGGTTCAATCCCCAGCACTGAAAAAAAAAATTACTTTCACAGACAGTGCCTTAAGATTGTTTACCCACAAAACAAGGTCTTCAGTAATATCTTGCAAATAATTATCTCAAGCATGCATTGGGTAATATTGCAGACTTAGTATCTGGCACCCAGTAAATGCTCAATAAAAACTCATTATCATTCAACAATACAATAGTAAAATAGGCAAACTCTGAGCCAAGTAGCCTGGGTTTGGATCCCAGCTCTAAAGCTTATATTAACTGTGTGACCTCAGATAAATTCATTAACTTCTTTTTGCCTTAGCTTCCTCATCTGTTAATGGGGATGGAAACTGTACCTACTTCATAAACTCACTGTGAGAGTTAAAAGTTTTATATGTAACACACTTAGAAACAGGCCTGACATGCAGTAAATTCTTGTTATCATCATTTGTTAATTCAATCATCAAACATCTACTAATTTCCAATCAGATGCCACGATTTTGGGTGGGTGGAACCAAGTTAAATTCAACCTAGTCTTTGTCCCCTAGGATTTCCAGATTAGTAGCATTTCTGTTCCTTTGCAATCTCTGGCTTTTGAGGGCCACACTGGCTGCCCTTTAGTTTGGGACCTGCCTAGGGCCTGTGTATATGCATGGTGTGGTAGGGGTGGGGCTAAGGGATGGCGGGGAGGGCAGGGGCAGTCTCTACCCACCCAATACCTCTTGTACAGGTTCTTTGCAGTTCCCGTCATGGCCCTAATTGCCAATTTTGGGATCCCCAAGTGGGCCCGGGAGAAGATTGTCAATGGCATCCAGTTGGGAATCCACCTGTATGCCCATGGAGTGTTCCTGGTAAGGATGGGCCTCCAGGGAGGGATAGGAAACTGAAGGGCAGAGGATGGGTGAGGCTCCCACCCCTGATCTGCTTGAATGTCTGAGCTTTGGACCCATCTCCCCTTTAGTCATTTGCCCTTTAGTCATTGAGGAGACTCCTCAGTTGATAGCCTGCTGGGTAGTCTACTGTGTCCTCTAGAGTCTACCCTCTTCTACTATTCCTCTCTGCCATCTTGTGTCCTGCCTTCTCCCCCACATCTTTATTTTCATTCCTGATCCTGTCCCTGGTCTCTCACATTTCCCTTTGTGTCCCTTCTGAAGCCCCTACCCCATCCTTCCCCCACAAATTCTCATYACAAGCCATTGTTCAGGAAGAAGTAGCTGGGAAGGGACAGGATGGTGCTTCTGGGGCCCTAGATCTGAATGTTGTTGTTTAGACAGAGGCATCAGGGGTTCCCAGCACCACATCTATTTTTTGTCTTGGTTCATATCCTGTCTGACCTTCTTGACAACGGTTCTCATATTCATGCATTTATCCATCCATCAACTGTTCGCTGGATACCTGTCTTGAAGCAGCCTATTTCTTGCCAGGGACATCCATGTTCATTTATTCCTACTCTCCAATTGTCAGAGCAACCTCAGGAGAGGACAGATAACAGTCATTGTACCCACTATACAGAGAGGGAAAGTTAAGACACAGAGAAGGAAGATGACCTCCAGGGCTCCATGGCCTTTAAYAGCAGGGCAGGCACTTCAAACCCTGTCCTCTGGCAGACCACAAAGTCTCACATAGGGGAATCCCAAAAGGAAAATAGGCATCACTGAGGGCCCCAATTCCTGAGGGACTCACAATATGTGCATGGAGGGAAGTACTCAGCTTGAAACTCTGTAGGAATTCAGAAAGAGATAAAGAGAAGAAATGATGCCAGAAGCAGTGGTACATGTTCATTAATCCAGCTGCTCTGGAGGCTGAGATAGGAAGATTGTAAGTTCAAGGCCAACTTGGGTAATTTATCCAGGCCTTGTCTCAAAACAAAACAAGAGGAAGGAGGAGGGTTGGGGACATAGTTCAGTAGTAGAGTGTTTGCCCAGCATGCACCAAGGCCCTGGATTTGGATCTCTAACACCGCAAAAAAAAAAAAAAAAGAAAGAAAGAAAAAGAAATTCTGAGAACCCACCATGTGCCAGGCTCCGCACCAGTGGTTTTCATTTCCACCCTCTCATCTTTCCAAATAGGCACTATAATCCCTCTTGGCTGGTGAGGCTCAGAGTTTAATCATTGTGTCCCAGATCCCATACAGAGAGCGATGGAGCCGAGATGTAAAGCAGGCTCCACTGCCAGATGCAGTGCCCTTACTAACATTTCACCTTCAGCCAGCTTCCTTCCTAACATGCTCAGCAGGCATCCAACTGCTCACTGGCTTCAGCTCCTTGCTAACGCATTCAACACAACTTAAGAAGGGTTGTGCTGTGTTTCTGGGGTGTGGTGCAGTCCCTGGCTTCATGGTCTGCAGGACTATAGGGAGACATCCAGGCACTGCTCTGGAAGGTTCTGGGGATTCAATAGGGAACAGAAGAATCAAGTTCCAGCCTCCATGGAGCTAACATTCTTTAGTGCATTAACTGCTATTTAATTGAACTTTGGGTTTTATGGAAATATTCTGTTATCTGTGCTCTCCATTATGGTGGCTTATAAGCACTTGAATATGGGTAGAGTAGTGCCCTGTGAATGAAAAGCTAAACTTTATTTTGATGAAGCCACGTGTGGCTAGAAGCTATCAACTTGGACCACACAGGAGAAGAACCTTAACAAGTGACAGCCCAGGGCTCTRAAGAAGGAAGCACAAGCAGAGTAATAAAAGATGTGTAGAGGGGAAAGGTCAGAATCCCGGGCACCATGGGAGCCCAGAGGTGACAGCTAATYCAGTCTGGACATTCACAGGAAAGTGTGGGGGATGTCACCTGGAGGTAAATCTTTAGAACCCCCAAGATTATGGAAACATCCCGGGCCCTAGATAGTGATCTCCAACCTGTCTTGCCTCTCACMCCAGATCATGACTCGCCCATCTGCGGCCAACAAGAACTTCCCGTACCACGTACGCACATCGCAGATCGCCTCCGCAGGGGCTCCGGGCACCGGAGGGAGCCAATCCACAGACAAGGCCTTTCCGCAGCACGTCTATGGGAATGTGACCTTCATTAGCGACTCGGTGCCCAACTTCACGGAGCTCTTCTCCATCCCCCCGCCCACCTCCTCCGTAAGCCCTGCGGCCCCGGCACCCGAGGAGCTGCTGGCGCCGCCCCTGGAGTACCTGACCCCTCTCCCAGCCCCGCCGCCACCCCCGCCCCCAGTGCCCGGGCGCCTGAGCCCGCCCCCTGCCTTTCGCACGCCCCGCGCCCCAACGCCGCGCCGTGACCGTCCCCTGGCGCCCGCGCCCACCCTTCCGGACTGGGTCCTGGCGCTACTGCGCACGCCCCCTCAAACGCCACGCGCGGTGCCCCCACCGCCCGCCTTCCGCGGCTCTCCCCCAGCTCCCAGGCCGCCGCCGGARTTTGTCCGGCGCACCCCAACGCCTCCCCTTGAGTACCTGGCTCCGCTGCCCAGGCGTCCCGCTACCCACTCCTTCCCTGACGGACACGTGCGTCCATCCTTGGGGTAGTTGGGTCTTCTTGGGGAGGGGGACGGGCCTTCGGGGCCGTATCTGCCCCCTGAGGGTTCCGAACGGCCTCTGACCCTGACCCCCCTCCCAGGCCGGGAAGCAGGTGGAGGAGACAGCGGTAGCGGCGGCAGTGGCCCCGAGGGGCCGTGTGGTGACCACGGCCGAGCCGGGCGCAGCCTCCCCGCCCCCTCCYGCTCGGTTCCCCAAGGCGGCCGACCCGGGCTGGGATGGCCCGACGCCGCCTTACCAGCCGCTCGTGCCCCAGACGGCGGCTCCACACACCGGCTTCACCGAATACTTCAGCATGCACACGGCCGGGGGCTCCGTACCCCCGGTCTGAGCACCCTTGGTCGCCCCTGTCCCCTGGGCCGCGCACCGGGCCCCGGCTGGGCTCCGGACCCCCAGCTCTGTCCCTTCCCCAGGGCTTGGCCAACCCTCCCAACTCTCCCCACCCCGCGTACCCAGGTTGGGTGCGCTGCGTCCCCCCCTTCCCCTTTGTGCCAAACGGTCCCGCGGGAGCCGCTCTCCCCGTCCCCTCCCTCAGCCCCTGCCCCGAACGGCGCCGGATTCTGGGCTCCCGCTGTTCCGTGATCTACGACCCCCCGATCCCCTCCGAGACCTCTGACCCCGTCGGACTCCGGCACACCCACGACGACCGCCAGGACCCAGCTCGTGACTCCAGGATTCCGCGACCCCGAGGACGGATATTGTGAAGCTGGTCTGACTCAAACCCTCCCTCGGATCTGTGACCTCGGACCCGTGCTCTCTGCCCCTGTCAGCATTCGGGGGCCTTCCCTCGGTCCCTCGCACAAAGACTCCCCCGCCCCTTGCCAAAATAAAAGAGGATTCGTTTTTATTTATAACGTGGCTTCTTTTACATCATGATGGTGCTGAGCGGCAGGGTTGAGCAAGAAACGTTTCAGGTTCGGGATTACTGTGTGTCTATCTGTGAAATGACATTTTGGGACCCAAGGCAAGGGGTTACATAATCTGAACTTCGTGTTGACTCGGAATCTGGGAGCACAGAAGATTTCAATCATCTGGCAGAGCCCTCTGTATTGCACTGCTCCTTTATTTTTACCTTCTTTTCCAATCGGATATAGAGGCGCCCTCCAGTGGCAAAAGCTTTGCTTAGCTACTGCTTTGCTCGCCCAGATTTTGCGGTATGCTCTTGCCGCTGCGCATGCGTGATTCTCTTGCTCCGCCAACCAAAGAGGTCGCTGATGCGCATGCGGTCGAGTACAGATGGGCGGGGAGATCTCCGGAAGTCCCTCTTGGCGGAGGGGTGGGGTTGGCTCCTCCGTAGTCCTCCCAGGGCCGCTCTGACCTGCCGGTCTTCAACTTCTCGCCTTCCCTTGGAGGGTTCTCCCAGAGCGGCCTCTTGGTTCCCGCCCCCACGCCCTCCCGGCGGGTCTTTCCCGGGCCTCTCTGGCCCTACCATCCCCTAGTCTCTCTGGTCTGGCCTATCCGGCTCGGGAGGGAGGCGCGGGAGGATGAGAGCTAAGTGAGTGCGCCTATGGAATCCGGGCCCGAGCCGTGAAGACAGGCTCCGCCCCTGGCACCCGCTCGCGCCCCGCCCCCACCTGGAGGGGTCTCCCTGGGACCTACCTACCTGGCGGGTCCAGGCCTGCACCCTTTATGGAGCCCCTGCCGGGCCTTAGAACCCTTGGACCCTGGGGACCTTCCCGTCTGTAAGGTCTGTTTTGGCCTGCAGCGGCCTGAGTCTAACCCCTGGACACTATTTATGGGGTCGGCCCCCCTATGGGGGCCCGTGTCTATCAGGGACCCTTTCGGTCCCTAAGCGTCGACCCCATCCAAAACGACCCTGTTTACAAGGCCTTCCATGAGTGGATAGAGCCCGCTCCTCTGCTTCCAGAGCCCATCAACAGCGGCTGTTCCCTTCGCGGGGACTGCTTCTGCTGGACCTCCCCGGTCTACAAGGCCATGCTACCCCTATAGAGGTCGCATTTGCAGGGACTCACCCCAGTAGAGGGTCCTCTCCGGGTCTTTAAGGCCCTTCCCGTCTCCAAGGAGTCAGTGCTGGAGGCGGCGATGGCCTTGGGCCAGGCTCTGGGCGCGGTACTGGCCCTGGCCTTGGCTATGCTGGGGCCGCTGTCCCCTGGGGCCCTGGCGGGGGACTGCAAAGGGCAGCGGCAGGTGCTACGGGAGGCACCTGGCTTCGTGACGGATGGTGCGGGCAACTACAGCGTCAATGGCAACTGCGAATGGCTTATCGAGGGTGAGTGGGGCCGCGTGGGTCACTCACTCATTCGCTAGTCCATTCATTTGTGCATCCATCCACCCAGCACATTGCCAGAGCCCTGTTCTGGTCCAGAGCGGTTACTCTAAAATGCAGGACACCCAGTGTTGTAATCTGAGCCCCATTCTGGAGGTCTGAAAGTCTGGTGGGAGAGGTGTGTGCAGACCAACCGAGAGCATCAGTGAGGGATATTCTGAGTAATTGCTGAACACTAAGGCTCTCGGTTCAGTCACTTGGTTTAGAATTTAGGCTATATATGGTCTGTGACTTTGAGCAGTTGACTTATTTTCTCTGAGGTTTGACTTCTCTTACCCCAAATGAGGTTGACAATTGTAGTCACCTCCTAAGGATGTTAGAATTAAATGAAACCAGATATTTAACATACCCGATGCCTGATTCGTAATAAATGTGTAATAAATGATATTAGGATTATTATTGTTATGTTTAAATTATTTCAGCAAATGCATTTGTTTTTAGTCATTCGTGTGCTACACATATTTGCCACCAGAACATAACAGAAGTGACTTAGGGCTTGGAATCTAGTGGGGGAGACAAATACAGCTCAAAGTGGTCTGTGATGGTGAAACCCTAGGGCCTGGGAGAGCAGAGAGGCTTCCTGGAGAAGATGTCAAAGCCGAGATCTAAGTGACCAATGGGAATCAGCCAGGAATGGGAAGAAGAGCATTCCAGAAACAGGGAAAGGTCTGTACAAAGACCTCAACCCTACTCTTATGGGCTCCCAGAGAATAGGGGGCTGGGMAAAGCTATTCCTGGGGAGTGGGAAGCCCAGAGAAGACATCTGACTTAACCTGGGGATTGGCTGAGACCAGTGACATGGGTAAGAAGTGGAAAAAAACATTCTTGGCAAGGAAAGCAGCCTGCAAAGGCCTGGAAGTGGGAGAGTGTGATGCTTTTGAGCAACTTGGATATACTGAAACAGAGTGTCAGATAGTAACCATCAAACCAGAGTTTGGGGGGTTGGGAGAAACTAAAGGGTATAGGACTTTGTGATTTTGAACTGTATCCTGAAGGCAATATGGAGGGAGAAGAGAAGTCCAAAGACAGTGTCTAGAAAATCCCAGGAAGTCCTCACAGGGCAGTAGGTTCGGCAGTAGCCTACAAGGAGAGGTAGGAGACCCTGGGCAAAGGCCAGAGGGATAGCAGAGCCTGAGTCATGTAGGACTTTCCTTGGTTGGTAGACTGTGGAGCTTGTTATTTTTTTAATCTTGGGGACACTGGGGAGCTTCAGAAAGGTTTTGATAAGTAAGAGGAAGGGCATGATTTATGTTTTAGAAGATCTCTTTGTCTGCTTTGTGGGGTATAGATGAAGGCATGTGTCTTGGGGTAAGCATGTCTGCCTGACCCAGTATGGGAGCCATTTCTGTCAGACTGTAGGATGAGAACAGCATGAGTGTGGTGGTGGTGGGGGGAAATCACTCTCTGACCCTGAAGATTCCCAAACATGTTGGCATTGGTGGGGCTATGTATGACATGAGGCCCCCAGTGTGCCACTGAGGCTGAATGTGCTTAGGGGAAGGTGAAGAATCTRCTGGAAATCATAGAGGAGGAGCCTCTGAAACAGGGTTCTGAAGTACACATGAGTTTACGGAGTTGGAAATGGGAACAGCCTCTATGCAGACATGAGTGAGGCAGGTATCTCTCAGGATCCTTCTGGGTTTGTCTGGTCTGGCTGCACTGTAGACTGGGACTTGAGGAGGGAGCCCAGAGCTGGGGAAGATGGGCCTTGAATGTCACGCTGAGCAGCTTGACCTTTCTCTTGGGATTGCTAGGGAGCCACTGAAAGATTTTGGGCATGGCTCTCAGGCTGGGTGGGGATGGACTTGGTATGCTGATCTATAGGAGAGAGTGAGTTCTGAATTAGGCAGGGGCTGGGCATGGTCATGAGGTGTRGAGATTGCAGGGAGATGTTTGTGGAGTTTCACCAATGACACCTGGGGACCAACTAAGGGGATATTGGGGTGAAGGAAATATCTGGGAAGCCTCTAGACCTCTCTTGATCTTCCATCCTCCCGAGCCTTGTCACCTCTGAGAACCAGTATCTCCCTCTATATTTGAAAAATCAGCAACCAGTCCACTTTTATGCCAAGTTCACAGTTTTATCTAGTCCCAGCCCTCAGAAGTAAGAGAATCCTGCTTTGGAGCAGGGGTGGTGGTTTGGGATCAGATTTCTGTCAGGAATCATGTGTGGGTTGGGTGGAAACAGGAGACCTTGAACTTAGGGAGGAACTTGGGGGAAGGCAGATGGTGAGCTGGCCTCTAGCAGGCACTTGACAAAGATGGTCTTGTGATTCCAGGAACAGAGCTGTGTAGTTTGGTTGAGGCTAGTGAGATTCTGGGAGGTCTGGTTGCCTGGTCCAGCTGAATGGGTTTTCTGCCTTCCCCAGGCCACGGGTGGGGATCTTTATGTGGTGTTCCCCGGGGGCTGTGGTCAGAGCCTGAGAGCTGCCAGCTTCAGAAGTCTTCCTTTTGTGCATTTCTTCATTCCAGCATTTGCTGAGCCCTTGCTCAGTGCCAGGCCTGTGTTGGGCAGTGCTGGGAAGGGAATGAGGCCCAGGCCCAGGTCCTGCTCTGTGGGCCTCCTAGGCTGCAGGGGAAGTAGACCTGACCCAGAGGAATGAAGGTTGTAGTGAGACATGAGAACCCTGAAGGGGGACTCCTAACCCAGCTAGGGGCCATCAGGGAAGGCTTCCTGGGTGGGGAGGGGAAGCTTGCTACTAAGAGAAGGATGTACTCCAGGCAGAGCTTGCACAAAGGCCCTGCTCCATAGAGCTGTGAGCATTGGGGGTGATGTGACAAGATTGGCCTCCAAACACCAAGTTAGGGAGCTGGATTTTCTCCCAGGGTGGTGAGGAACCACACAGGACTTTTGAGTAGAGGAAGGACAGGGCCAGATGTCAAGTTGGAAAGACCCATTTTAGAGCAAGACTGGAGGCCAGGCCTGGAAGGAATCTGAATCAGTGGTCCTGGTGAGAGAGGACAAGGATGAGGGCTGGGCAGTGCATATTACTGAGCACCCTGGCTCTGGGCTGGCAGGTTAGAGTTATCATCTTCCTGAATGTTCACATTAGCCATGGTAGATGAGGAGAATTATTCCTGTTTTACAGTTATAGAAACTGAGGCTCAGAGAGCCCATGGAACTGGTTCACAAACAGTCAGAGGGAGTGGTAAATCTGTAGGATCCAGATGGGAGTGCTGAGTGGTTGTGGGTGAAGGGCTTTCCCTGGGTCCTCCAGCAGGTCAGGGTCAGAGCTGGAACCCAGCTTCTAGTTTCCTCAGCATGTAGGACTCCTCTGAGCTGCCTGCAGTGTCTCTTAGGGACACCTAGTGTGGGATGTGGAATGAAAGTCTTCTGGAACCAGGACCTGGCTGAGAGCAAGAATAGGACAGTATTAAGCTCTCGCTGTGATAAGCTAGACTCCATCATAGCACTTTATGGGCATTATTGCCTCTCACACAGTCACTCAGATGTCAGCTGGGGCTAGTCACCTGAATGCTCACCTGGGCTGGATGTCCAAGGAGGTCCCTTCCAGGGTTGGCTGCTGATTTGATTCTGGCTGTC